CTACAGTACAAACCATCTAATTCGGTCTTCGTTTACTGCTATAATAATGTTATAATTATATAGCATCATGCATCTGAAGTGATAGAATTACGATATATGCTTTAGCTTGTATTACATTAAATTACGTTTCATTTATGTTACCTAATGCATTACTATCAGTATTTTAACGAAAGGATAATAATACGCTAAAACTAATCACTTCAACTTTGTAACCTGCTAATCTTTAAAAATTAAGCAAAAGTTCTTTTCAGTCTGTTACAAACTAATTCTCTCACGGACTAACTCACTTTTAGCTACAACATCCTGGCCGCCAAGGAGATGATCGAGGCGAAGGACGACAAGAAGGCAGCTACAGCTTGCTTCGAGAAAGTTGGTCTTGACCCTGAGCTGTACCGTACCGGCAACACCAAGGTCTATACGGATAACAATTTTACCTCAAACTATTACTTTTATTTTAATTAAAGCATGTTTCTGCGTATTTGATAATCATAATATAATATATTTATGTTATATCTGCGTAACCGTACATTCTAAATTAATATAAAATAATGAAAATTACATGGAAAAGCCGTTATATATGCATAATACGCATTTTCCTTTTGACATGATATACGTTCTTCTTTATCATATATTCAGATAATTGCTAAGATACCAGGCACATAACTGCTATGTCCCCTTGGCCACATTCCACTTTACCTTTCCCTCCTTAGGTGTTCTTCCGTGCCGGCGTCCTGGGTAGACTGGAAGAGATCCGTGATGACCGCGTGGGCATACTCCTATCGTGGTTGCAAGCATGGATTCGTGGTTTCATCAGCCGCAAGCTATACTCCAAGATGCAGAAACAGCGCACTGCCCTTCTTGTTGTGCAGCGCAACATTAGGAAGTTCAAGGTCATGCGTGCTTGGCTCTGGTATGATATGTGGATCAAGCTCAAGCCCAAGCTTAATGTAACACGCGCCGAGGATGAACTTGTTAGGTTAGAGCAAGTTGCCGAGAAGGCTGAGGCTGAATTTGAAAAGGAGATTAAGGTCCGTCAAGAACTCGAGATCAAAAATGCTGCTCTTCTCGAAGAAAGAGCAGAGCTCATGAATGCCCTCGATTCTTCAAAGGGTGGTATGTCCGATTATCTTGACAAACAAGCTAAACTTCAGGCACAAAAGGCAGAACTAGAAGCTCAGTTAAATGTAAGTATATATACTGCTTGCAATGGAATTCTAACAATCAGTCACAGTTGAAACCTGCATGTTAACAGAAGCTACTCGCATTATGTACATACTATATAAGTATCTTTCATATGTTTCATCAATTTATCAATATGACTATGACAGTATGAAGAGTATCTAATTGTTGATTATTATTTTTTTTTTTCATACAAAGGATGTGCTAGAACGTGTACGTAAAGAAGAAGAAGCCTCCGGTCAGCTGAGTAGTGGAAAAAAGAAGTGTGAACAAGAAGTTTCAAACCTGAAAAAGGACCTTGAGGACCTCGAACTTGCCGTCCAGAAGGGTGAGCAAGATAAGGCCACCAAAGAACAACAAATCCAGAACCTTAAAGAAGAGATCGCCCACCAGGAGGAACTCATCACCAAGGTTAACAAGGAAAAGAAGCATCTTCAGGAATGCAATCAAAAGACTGCCGAAGATGTCCAGTGTATTGAGGACAAGTGCAACCACCTTAGCAAGTTGAAGACTAAATTGGAATCCACTCTTGACGAACTCGAGGATTCTCTTGAGCGTGAGAAGAAGCTTCGCAGTGAAGTTGAGAAATCGAAGAGGAAAATTGAGGGTGACCTTAGGCTTACCCAAGAAGCTATCTCTGATCTGGAGCGCAACTACAAGGAGCTTGAAGTAGCCGTTGAGCGTAAAGATAAAGAGCTTACAGCCCTCACCGCCAAAATTGAGGACGAACAGGCTCTTGTGTACAGGGACCAGAGGCAGGTTAAGGAACTTCAGGCTCGCCTCGAGGAGCTCGAGGAAGACGTTGAACATGAGCGACAGGCCCGTAGCAAGGCTGAAAAGGCCAAGAATCTTCTTTCACGCGAAGTTGGAGATCTTGCTGAGAGACTGGACGAGGCTGGCGGCGCCACGGCTACTCAGATCGAAATCAACAAGAAGCGCGAGAGTGAACTGGCTAAGGTTCGTCGGGAGCTCGAGGAATCCAGCCTTCAGCACGAATCTGCTCTTGCTGCTCTCCGTAAGAAGCACAACGACGGTATTGCAGAGATGTCTGAGCAGATTGACTACCTGAACAAGATGAAGGCTAGGTAAGTCTGCAAATTAATGCTTCAATATTTACCACACATTTATTTTGTAAGATTTGCATTTATGTGATTTTAAATACGAGATTGCCTTACATACTTATATAAAATTACAGAACAGAGAAGGATAAGGACGCCATGAAGCGGGATGCTGATGATGCTAGGGCTTCTATGGATGCACTTGCTCGTGATAAGGTATGGGAATATGATTGTACTATATGTTTCTCACACAAATAGAAACA